GGTGGTGCGGGCAGGAGATCCCCGCGGGTCAGAGGGCTGCTGGGGCCTCTCTGCGTCTGGAGGGGCAAGTCCCGCTGTGGGCAGCACGCCTGCGCCCGGGCTCTCGTCGTAAGTTGGCCGGTGTTGCTCCTCCGACCTAGACACCTCTCCCCTCCCGGTGTCAGGGCTCGGCAAAGTAAAGCCATTTCACTGCTGGGCAGGAGCTTGACTGCAACGCGCGCTATCCAGTTTTAGCTGCATCTCTGGGGCGTAGCCCCTGCCCACGTCCCCACCTGCCCAGAGCAGACTAAGCTTTGCGCTCTTTGTGCTCAGGCCTCAGAGGAGCTGCTGAAGGAGCACTATGTCGCCCTTCGTGACCGCCCCTTCTACAGCCGGCTGGTGAAGTACATGAGCTCTGGGCCCGTGGTGGCCATGGTGAGTGCTGGCCAGGTTCTCCCGAACCAAGGAACACAAAGTAAGTGCAAAGTATAAGTAGAATGGGCTCATGGCATAATGGAGACAAGGTGGCCTCTCTCTTCAGGGGGCCTCTTGAAGCCATACTGAGCTGCAGGGGCATTTTCTGCGGTAAATTAAATCCACAGACAGTTGTGATTATTTTTCCAAAATCAACTTTTGAAGACTATTGACAGAGAATGCCTTTCCTGTCTCTCACCTGGGTGGATCAGGTGGGGAATCAAGAGGACAGACACTATGAGCTGCTGGGGGAGTTGTGGAAGCTGATTCTTGTTTTGCCCTCACATAGGTCTGGCAGGGCCTGGATGCGGTCAAGACAGTTCGCACAATGATTGGGGAGACTAACCCAGCCGAGTCCAGGCCTGGCACCATCCGAGGAGACTTCTGCGTTGAAGTCAGCAAGTGAGAGCTTTGGCTTTTTGTTCCCTCAGTATTTCAGTGCATCCTGTCCAGGTGTCGCGAATCCTGATTTAGGATCCTGCTGACTGTGCCAGTTTGTCATCAAAGGGAGGTTTGCATCTCACTCAAGAGAGAGAGGCAGCAGTATGTTTTATTGAGGCAGGATAATAATTGGACAGAGTTCAAGAAATTGATGGAATTTAACACAGTTTAGCAGTAAGGGTGATTTAGATCGCTTAAAGAACCACTGTCAAAGGTATTGGCAAAAGTGGTTCAGTAGGATCTTGTAATGTTTCATTAGCATGCAGTCAAAGCTGAGGCCCTCTACCTCCTCCGGAGCCTACCCCAAACCACCGCTAGTCTGGTCAAGGGGTCCAGCATGCCCGTCACACCAGGCATTGCTGTACAAAGCTTGCCTGAGCCACGGGAGTCTGCACCCGCAGGGCAGAGCTGCTTGCTTCTCTGCTCAGATCAGAGCTGTCTCCCTCTGGCAGTCCTAGCAGGAGGTGCTGACCTCTGCCTCCTGGGGTTGGCTTTGCCAGAAGAGAAGAGCCTGGGTTTGTGTCTTTCCTGCCTCTTCAGGCCTTTTCTGCTGAAAGCAGGTGGGGTTTGCTTGTCTTTTGCTCTGGGGAATGGGGACTGTCAGGCTGTGAAGAGGAAGGGAGGAGCCCTCTCAGCCCTTTCCTGAGGGAGCAGGGTACCTGGAGAGCTGCTCTAGCTCCACCAGGCACCCGAGTTTGTAATGAAAGCAAGCGGGAGCTCTGCACACGCTAGGGCTCTTCACCAGTGAAGATCCACCAGCTGTGACCTTGGCTGGCTGCAGCCTAGCTTGTGGTAGACACCGCTTTTATCGAACCCTCCTGGATGAGGTTTCTGTTCCATGGTGTTTGATACCAAACCTGCTTCGCAGGGCCTACTTTGACAGAAGGACGCGGGGAAACCTGGAGGCAAAACTTGAATTGCTGCCATAAAAACAAGGCAAACCCCAGATCAACAGCCACTTGCAGCTTCTCCTGTAGCAAACAGATGGTTCCTCCCCATAGGAGGAAGGAGCACTGGGAAGTGGCAGCTGCTGCACAGCCACGACCCAAGCCATGTTCAGCGTAACCACGGAGAGCCCCTGAGCTGGAAGGAGGAGGGCTGTGTGGTGGGAAAGAATATTGTAGGATGCGAGTGGCTCATTGGTTTAAATAAATTGGTCAAGGTGAAATTTCCCAAACTGCAGCTTCCCTCTCCCACCTTTCTCTGCTTAGTGCCGGCTGATCCCTTTCTTCTCCCCCACAGGAACGTGATCCACGGCAGTGACTCGGTTGAGAGTGCCCGGCAGGAGATCTCCCTCTGGTTCCGCCCGGAGGAGCTGACCTGCTGGGAGGACACGGCCCAGCACTGGGTCTATGCATGAGAAGAGTGGCCTGAGGGAAGCGCGTCTTCTTGACGGGGCACAGGGCGTTTCCATCCATTTCATCGCAGCCGCTTCAGCTGGCTGTGGATCCTGCTGCGGCGTCGCATGCCGTGGGGGTTTCTGTTCTGCGTGTGGGCGGAGGGGTCCTGGGAGCTGTTTTGTTTGTGCAACTCTGCGCTTCAGCTCCATGCAAGAGTAGCTGTTTCTCTTTTCTTTCTCTGCTATAGTAAAGTAGTTGGTATTATTGCTCTGTTTGCTGCAGCTTCTTGAATGCCAGGTAGCTCAAGGTGATTTATTGAAGTGAGAACTGGGCTCTCTGCCCATTCCAGTGTGTACTCTGACCTGCCTGGCGCGAGGGAACATGTGCTCCCCACCGCTGCAAGAGGTGCTGTGGTCACTACAAGGCCGTGTGATCGATATCATTTAGCTCCATGTCTGTAAGGCTCTTCATCAAAAGCTTTTAAAGAATTAGGCTGCTATGGGATAAGGGGGAAAACTCCCAGCTGCGGTAAGAGCTCATTCCAAGACAGGACAAACGGCTCACTCTCTGTTGGTGGCAGCTCTATGTGCCAGGGCTGGCACAAGCTCACCCTGCTTCAGATGTGATTAGCGAGTCCATAGAAGGATGATTCACCAAACGCTGTTAAATGCACATTTTCTGCCCTGGGTTCATCTGGAATAGGATTAATTTCAGGTGAAGCTAAGAGAGGGCACAGCTGGGAAGGCTGAGACCCAAACTGGCCAGACTAACCAAGTATTCGCTATGCTCAGGACTTAAGGCGGGGGGGGAGATTCCTGAGGGAGGAGTGCACTGGGCATCAGGCAGTGAGGAAATTGGCCTCTGTATTCCCTTGCTTTGTATATTGTTTTGATCAGTGTGATTGTTGTTATTGTTTGCTTCCTTTGCTGTTCTGTTAAACTGTCTTCATGCCAAGCCACGAGTTTTTGCCTTATTCTTAACATTCTCCTCCCCACCCCACCGGGCGAGAGGAGCGAGACAGCAACTGCCTGGCTCGGGGCTGCCG